GTACACATTTGCTCTGAGGTCTAGGCAAGATTTAGCCTTTTTCCTTTGGAATGCCCCCTTGACGTGCCAGCCAAGGATCCCCAGAAACCTCCATTTGAAGTTCACAGTACTTGAAACCAACAAACAAGATTTGCTTTCTGTTCTCATGTGACTCTGAGTTGGATGACCTTTTGGAAATCCTGGATAAAGTCTCCATTTAAGGCTCCAACACAGTAATGACCCCACGACACAAATCACTGTGGATTAGGGAGCTTCCAAATTAAACAGGGGCTAGCAAATGGCAGTGTTACAATAGCAACAGTGATGCTCATAAAACTTCACATTTTGATAGTCTCAACAATAGTTTGCAAATACATTTATGTCCACTCTCTTTTCTGATACTCAGAAACTCCTCAGGACAACAGAGGGTAAATATATACACATGCACACATTATGCTATCCCATCTTGCAGGTATGTGAAAGCTGAGGTTAAAGAGCAAAGGAACCTGTCCAACTTGTACGTGGGTGGGTGTGCAATTCAACCAAGGCTTCCACTTCCAGCCCCACATCTTTTTATCTAAATGTTCTCTATGTCTTCACCTCACCATCCCCACTATCACCAAGAATCCTGAAACCAATAGGATTTGTGATACAGAGGATCGGGAATTTAAAAAGCAGCCTTAGAGCTTTTAGAGAATTGATTCAGAAATAGATAAAATAACAGCAAGACTGCCTGGCCGGGTGGCTCAGTTGGTTAGAGCATCGTCCCAATACTCCAAGGTTTCAGGTTCTATCCCTAGCCAGGGCACATACAAGAACCAACCAATGAATGCATAAATAAGTCAAGCAACAAATCTCTCTCTCTCTCTCTCTGAAGTAAATAAATAAATAAATAACTTAAAAAAAAAAAAGTCATGACAAGACGGTGGCAAAGAAAAACAGGAAGAACTGAGATGAACTAATGCAGCATAGAGTCACTAAGGCAACAGGGAAAACAGAATGGTCTCTCTCTTCCTCTTTCACATCCTTCCTGTTCATGACTGTACTTCCCCAAATGACCCTATAATAACTCCTCCTCCAATATTGGATAGTATTTAAAATACTTTGGCTAAACTAATCCTGATCAACTAGGAGCAAGTTTCCCATTTTTTCTTGGAACTATCATTTTAGTAGCAGTCACATTCTTGTCATGTCCTTTGACACATGTTTCTTATTTGCCATGCTCGCTGGATCTTTCCCCATTCTGGACATGCTCACCCACCCACCCAGTTTGTCAAAATTTCACTTCCAATGTGATGCAGCAAGAAAATGTGCCAACCATAAAGTGATTTTCGGTTTTTCATTCAATAAATCAACCAAAAATAAATAAATAAATATGTACTGAATCATGAGGAAACTTTTTGGGGTGATGAAAATGCTTAAAGGGTTATTTTAGGAGTAAGTGAAGTAGTAAAAGCCTAGCAGTTAGCACAGGGCCTGGCACAACGAACATCCTTTATGGAGCCCTGCAGCTCAGTGCCTTCCCAGCACCATCTCTGCAGTCTTCTCTCCAGTCCAGAGCAGTGCATTCCGACAGACATCAACAAACTGGAGGGGGAAGGTCGAAAGAGAAGGAAGTTCCTGCTCACAGAACTTCCATCAGCAATTTGTCCTTCTCTTTTTGCCCCTGTCCAGCTTTGCCCTGCCCTGGTAAAGACATATAGATTTGTCTCCTGAGCATCAACTCCACCTCATCTCTAGGGTATATTAGAAACTTCTTCACCCTGGTGGGTGAAAACCCCTGACTGCTTCCACGCCTGGGGGCAAGTGTCCTGGAAGGAATTTAACCCACCCTTTGGGAGAATCTGGGCAAACCTTCTTAGCTAAATCCATCCCAGAGTGTGTAATGGTCTGTCTGGCTACCCAGGTCCTGGTCCTCATTTCATTTCCACCCTAGCTCTAGAGCCCCACTGCAAATGTTGACCAAATTGGTAGGGGGCTGACTCCCTCTACTGGTTTCAGTCCACTCCTTTCATGTAGGATCTGGTCTGTTTCCAGTATCTTCCTGGTGCTCATTCAGACAAACCTCCCTGTCCAGTGACTTGGCCAGAGACCAGTAATGTAGTCCCCAGATGCCCCTGCAGCTGCACCCACACCTCAGATCAAAGCTCTTGAATATAGCCATGGCCTGGATCAAACATGAGTTTATTCCTCTCCTTGGGCCATGATGATCTACCCAGGGCAACTTCCTTTTACTCTCTCCCATCTTCAAAGAGCTTCAGGTACATCTCACGTCTATACATGTTCCATTTAGAATACTGACAGTGAGGAAGGAAAAAATTACAAAGAGCAGATATATGAGCTCATAAAGCAGTCTATTGAGGATTTAGTGTAGGGGCAAATAGGTCTAATAACTTTAATAGACTTAAAAATTTTAATAGTCATTGCTGTCATAATTTCATTCATTCATTCATTCATTCATTCATTCATTCATTCCATACTCATTCGTATATTCATGCTTGCACTGATTTGAATTGCAGGTTGCCTGGAGTGTGCTTGGTACTAGATATGTAAATATGAACATGACCTAATCCTTGCTCTTAAAGAATCATAAAAATTAGTATTCAGAATGTCAATGTCATCATCTTGACCTAGCAAGTGAAAGTCTGTATGTCTGGTATGCTGTTAAAGAAAAGAGAAAGAGCCCTGGCCGATTTTGCTCAGTGGTTGGAGCATAGGCCTGCGGTCCGCAGAGACCCAGGTTCGGTTCCCGCTAAGGGCGCGTACCTCGGTTGCAGTTTGTCCCCGGGCCTGGTTGGGTCGTGTGGGTGGCAGCCACTTGATGTGTCCCATTCACGTTGATGTTTCTCTCTCTCTCTTTCTCCCTCCCACTCTATCTGAACAAAATATCGAAAAATGTCCTCGGGCGAGGATAAAAAAAAAGAAAAGAGAAAGATGCAGACCACCTCAGTAGATCAAATGTATGCATTGTTCTGTGCCATTTTATATAAGGGACTTAAGCATCCTCAGATTTTTGTATCCACAGCAGGTCCTGGAACCAATCCTTCACAGATATCAAGGGACAGATTAAGTTACACGTGGATTTTTTACTTTGTGGGTGGTCAGTGCCCATACTTCCCGTGTTGTTCAAGGCTCAGCTGTATAAGATAATTACATTCAACAGTATCAGGTATAATTAGCACAAAATGTAATGTGTGAGCTTCATTTCTATAAGCCTCGAGTCTGGCATTTCTAAGTCTGCATCACACCTTTGGCCCTCCTAGTTATATGGCATTGGCCTCACGTCCTCACCTCTAACATGGAAATAACAGTATTTCACAGCTCATAAGATTGTTGTAAAGGTCAAATGAGGTAATGTGTACAAAGTACTTAATATGGTGCCTAGAAAACCCCTATTTATGTTGTATTTTCCTTTTCAAATATGCATATGGTATGTTTTTATTTATACACATTATATTAACAAGATCATTCCACTTTTCAATATCCCCTTCAAGCCTCTGTTTGGGGTTACTATCCAAGGTCAACTGCAATTGGTCTTGAAAAGAAGATTAAAAGTAAAAGCAGTAACCAACAAAGACAACATATCTGTAACCCTAATTAAAAAAAGAAATAAGTAGAATTAAGCAGTCCACAGTCCTAGAAATTAAAATTTGTGAGAAATTTATCAAAACTACCACCTATTAGGAAAGATGTTAGTGCACATGAAACTTCCCAGGTTAAAACTAAATCAATCGCAGGACCCATTAATAAAATGACAGCATCCCATTCTAGGCTCAGTCTTCAAAGCACACCTGGTCTCTGTTCTAGGTTATAGACACCACACTTGAAATGAGTCCTTGACAGCCAGGAGCCGATTCTAAGCATTCCAAAATGTTAAATAAGTAGAGCCTGACAAAGGAGTGAAATACAGTAGGGGAGCCTAGGCCTCCTCGGCTGGGGAATGGCAGACATGGGAGAGTAGTGACAATGTCCTTTCAAACATCTGAGGGACTGTCGTATGGAAGGGGATTTAGATTTGGTCAGTCTCTATGGCCCAGAGGGCAGAACTAGTAGGATGGCAGGGAGAAGATGTAGAGAAGGAGAAATAATTCAATTAAACATTAAAAAGATCAGATCTTTTTAACAGAATTGTCTAATGTAGTAAGACAACTGTCTCTGGGGGTTATGGGAAGTAAAGATTCAATAGAGAATCCAACTTGGTCAGAAGCTGGACTATGGATTTGACTGGTACCTGATAACTTTTTCAGGCATCCATGGTAAGAAAAATGAAGCAATGACATATTCTCTAAACCCATTAACTATAAAATGAGGAAAATAATAATGTTGACCTGGCAGAATTGTGTGAAGATCATAATATGTGAAAAAATCCTCAACATGAAAGACAGAGATGAAAACAACAACAATGAAACAGAGGAAACAGAAAAGAAAACTTCAATTATTACTCTCAGAAAGATGAGAACATATTGCTTCTATGAGACCAAGAGAGGTCTATAGTTTTGTTTAAAGAAACCGTCAGAAAATTAAAACAAGTGTTTATAAATTTAAACTATAATATCGGAAATAAATTTTAACAAATGAATTGAAAGATTAAGTTGAGGAAATAACCTAGAAGGTAGAACCAACTGTCAAAGAGTACGGAGAGAAAACAAAATAAGTTAAAATTTCAACACAAGAGGGAAAAAAATTTGACTAATAGGCCTTCCCGAAAGAGAAAACAGAGAAAATGGGGGGAAGGAAATTATCAAAGAAACCATATGCGAAAATTTCTCAGAACTGAAAGATCTGAGTTGCCACATGGAAGAAACTGAATACTAAACACAACAGATGAAAATAAACACACACCAAAGTACATCACCATAAATTTTTAGTACATAAGGAATAAAGAAAATAATTCTAAATGCTTCCTGGAAACAGGGTACGGTGGGAGAAACAAGTGACAAAAAATAACTGGGACTAAGAATAGCATTGTACTTTAAAGTTCTAAGAGACACAAAGGCTTATTCATTTTTATTCTAGTGCACCTTTTCTCAGGAAGTTACTACAGGATGTGTTCCACCCAAATGAGGTAGTGAACCTAGAAAGAGGAAGAGATGTTATACAAATGGAGAATCAACACAGAAAAAAGATCAAGGGAAGCCCAGGAAGACAACTATACAGCAGACCAGGAAAGCAATCAGAACAGGACAACAGATTTAGAAAAGAGGTTTGTTTTGTTTTTATTGTTGTTGTTTTTTTCCATCCTCACCCGAGGACATTTTTCCATTTTTTACTCAGAGCAGGAAGGAGAGACAGGAAGAGAGAGAAACATTGATGTGAAAGGGACACATCGAGTGGCCGCCACCCACACGACCCAACCACAGCCGGGGACAAACTGCAGGCAAGGTACATGCCCTTAGCGGGAACCGAACCCGGGTCTCTGTGGACCTCAGGCTGACGCTCTAATCGCTGAACCAAACCGGCCAGGGCTAGAAAAGAGGTTTTAAAAAAGAATAAACAAGAAAGGAAAAAGGATAAAAAAGAAAAGATTACTGACTAGGTAAGAAATTATATTGAAGTATTTGCAAAAAAAAGCATGACTAATAGAGACATGGAAAATTAAGCAGATGCAGAAATGAGGCCTTATTAATAATGCCAGTAAAAATAAAAAGTCATACTGGAAAGGAAATCTAAGGCACAAACAATACCTACCTAGACGTGCTAAGGTTAACACTGGATATCGATTTAACTAAAAATTGTGATATCACTACATAGGGATGGTGTGGAGAGGCCAACCCCTGGGGGGATGTAAGAAACCAAAGTACTCAGCTACCACAATCTGAAAGCAGCAAGTAAAATCTAAATTAGCAGCACAGCACAAATACCAAAAGTAATTCTAAAAATATTAAAAGGGTGGAGATTGGGTGGAGGAGAACAAAAAGGGAGAAAATGGGAGACATCTGTAATACTGTCAACAATAAAATAGAAAAAAAGCACAAGTTTCTTCTCAGAAAAAAATAAAAAATAAACAGTTGCTACTCTAGAGAATGGGACTTAAGTGTAGACATAAGACAGAAAGTGATGAGACAGGTGAAGGCAGTTCTTTATTATGACTTACTAAACTTGATTTTTAATTAGAGTGGGGCAAAAGTAGGTTTACAGTTCTTTGTAAGGAAAATAATACAATAATTACAAAAGAATAATACAAGAATAAACTGTGTTTTGTGTACTCACAACTGTAAACCTACTTTTGCCCCACTCTATATATGCATGTATCACTTTGGTAAAAATTAATACTGATTTGTTTTAATCCTCACCCAAGGATATTTTTCTATTTATCTTCAGAGAGAGAGGGAGAAAGAAAGAAAGAAATATTGACGTGAGAGGGCCACATCGACTGGTTGCCTCTCGAATAACCCCGACCAGGGCCGGGACGAACAGCTACCGAAGTACATGCCCTTGATCAGAATTGAACCTGTGACTCACTGGTTCACAGGCCAACACTCTAACTGCTGAGCCAAACTGGCCAGGGCTTTTTTTTTTTTAAAAAAAAAAAAAGAAGAAGAAGAAGAAAGAAAGAAAAATTCTGCCAGTACGTCAATTTAAAACATCCAGGAGCCACTAAACTAGGTAACTATCAAGGTCTGTTCTACTTTGAGACTGTTTGATTTCACAGCCCCTAGTGGAGCTATTGCCATTGCTGGGCAACTTCATGTACCAGGCAGACCCAGGAGAATTGTTGCCAGTTTTACTAAGTTGACATTCTAAGAGTTTAATGGTTTTTGGTAAATACATGTTCTTTGTTTAATGCAAGATAATCTCTTCATTCCAGTTTCATTCTTATTTTCACCAGCATTTGTTATTTCTAATTCAGGTGTGTTTCCTTTTTTGTTGGAATTTCTTTTTTTCTGGGCTATTTATATCTCATGTTTAGATATTCTATGACAGCACTGGCTCTCAGAGAGCAAGGAGATATCTTATATTTGTAGATTTGTGGGAATTAACACCCACATTTTACTTGAAAATTAAAAATAAGGTCAACAGGCAATTTACTGTTTCACATTGTAGAGTTGGAGCTTTTGTGGATGAATAAAATGTAATCTTGAGATACGCATTCTCGTGACCTAGTCAGCCAAGGATCAAAGTATGCTGTGTGGATAGGTGTGGCGGAGGGTCGAAACACCACCCTGTCTGAACTGAGTGTATTGTATATGTGTGAATAGATAACAGTTGCATGTCAAAGGGTTGGAAAGCCTCCCCGAAAGAGACAATGGGCGGAAAGCCCAGGCGAGAATGAGTTTGTTTTTTTGTATCTCCTTTGATGTTTGTCAGCTGAGAAAAGGCCAGAGAAAGGTATTATACTAGGCTTGGCTGTATGGTCAACAGAGATGCCATCTCAAGAAAATAATTACCTAAAACACCATGTAACCTGAGGAGACACTTTGCAAATGAATTTGACTACATCCAGAGATCTGGAGCATTTGCTCCTTTGCGATGCCCCCCCTCACTCCAAGCAGTGTCTGTAGTTCATTGCATTGCGCCAACCTCCAGCAGGCCAAGAGAGACAGCATCACATAGTTCTTTTATACATGCTTAATTTTTACTAGTCAGTTTTCATTTAACGTTAAAATTTTTCCATGACAGCATTTTCTAAATAAAATTAATTGTTGTTTATGATTGCAAAACTATTATATGCTTACTATTAAAAATTTGGAAAATACATTAAAGCATAAAAGATGAAACATAAAATGTACTCTCTTTTGATCATCCATAAAATCTTTTTAGTATTTCACTGTATATCTTGCTAGTCTTCCTCCTGTGCATATTTAAGATTGCATTTATTAATTTTTTTTTTTTTTTTTTTTTACTAAATGGGTCTTGGTTGTTCAATTTTATAACTTGTTTTTCTCTTAACAATGCTTATTTGTCTTGTTCTTGGAAATTCTTTTTAAAAATTTGGTCATTGTTTCATGTATGGATATATATTACTTTAGATTATTTTCAATTGTTCACAATTTCCAATTGTTCACTATATAAACAATGCTCTAATAAATATCCTGTGCTACCCTGGTTGGTTTGGCTCAGTGGTTGGAGCATTGGCCCGCAGACCAAAGAGTCACAGGTTCAATTCCAGTTAAGGGCACATACCTCAGTTGCAGTTCGGTCCCCAGCCCTGATTAGGGTTGTGCAGGAGGCAACCAATCAATGTGTCTCTCTCACATCAATGTTTCTCTCCCCCCCACCTCACACTCTATCTGAAGATAAATGGAAAAATAACCTTGGGTGAGGATTTAAAAAAACAACAAATAATAATAATAAACATCCTGTGGGTATATCTATACACACACCCAGGCTGCTTTACATAGGGTAAGTTCTCATAGTAGATGTTCTGGATCAGAGTATGGACATTTTTAAGGCTTAAAATAATTATAGCCAAATTTCCCTCTAGGAAAGTTTACTCATTGCAACCTAGCCAATACTTTGGGAATATTAATTTCCCTCATATTTTCAACAACAATTTTTAAATTAAAAATGTTGCCTTTTGTTATGTGAGAAATACAGCCCTGATTTGGATGCTTAGTAATCATGGCAGGCCTTCCAGAATTTATCTTGAGGATAAACTGGGATATTATCTATAGCATATTTTTTATATCTAGGATCATTTTACATATAAGGATGACATAAGGTATTTCCAATACTTGATAGTGTTTGACCTACAAAACTGTCCATTTCAAATGGTTAAGCCTAAGAAATACATTTATAAAATTGGGGAAGGATTTATAGGTTAAGAATCAGCCAAATTGCCATTGCCTTTAAAAAGTTTCTCAGTTATGGAAGAGCTATCAGTACGACCTGTTCTAATGGGAAGGCCCTGCTGTGCTTCTGCTGAAGGAGCTCAGAACAGGCCTCCTCAAGATGTGCCATTTGGCATGTAAATTATTTTGAGCTAAAGTCATTGGAGACCCTGCAGGCTCATGGGAAAATTCTACCTCTCCCTTAAAGGATTTAAATTAGGGCCTTTCCCATGACAAGAGTTATTACCAGAGATAACTTTTTGTGACCTATCTATAGGGCAGGGCAAACATAATTACTGAACATCTGCTCTTCGTACAGTCCTGAGAATGATCTTCCCTCTAAAGCCCTGACATGCCTCACCTCATCCTTGGCTCAAATACCATATGTACCTCATTTTAACTCTGTCTCTGCACTCTCATGTATGTGGGGGTTGGTCTCTCTCTTATGTATGTGTGGTTCCCATATGTTCGCATGTAATTAAATTTGGTTATTTTCTCTTGTTAATCTGTCTTATGTTGATTTAGTTATAGACCAGCTGGAAGAAACTAGAAGGGTAGAGGAAAGTGTCTTCATCCTCCCACCTCACACACTGCCAGACTGGTTGGAAGGGTTGGGGTGAGTCAAAGTGAACCACTGGAGTCCACTAAAAGATGGCCTTCCTATAGAGAAGTACTACTGTGAAGTAGGATTTTGGAGAGAAAATATATAACCAGTAAGGTTAGCCCTGGCCGGTTTGGCTCAGCAGTTAGAGCGTCGGCCTGAGGTCCTGAGAGACCCGGGTTCGGTTCCCGCTAAGGGCACGTACCTTGGTTGCAGTTTGTCCCCGGCCCGGGTCGGTCGTGCGGGTGGCAGCCACTCGATGTGTCCCTTTCACATCGATGTTTCTCTCTCTCTCTCTGTTCCTCTCTCTCCCTCCCACTCTACCTGAACAAAAAATGGAAAAATGTCCTCGGGTGAGGATAAAAAAATAAATAAATAAATAAAATAAAAATAAAAATCAATAAAAAAAATAAATAAATAACCAGTAAGGTTAAAGTGAAGTTAGAGAAACCTCAGAAATGCTTCAGGCGTATGAGGGAATGACCAATGGGTAATGGTACCTGACTAATACTGGAAACATGTATATCTCTGGCTTTTCCTCCATAGAAAATGTTTGCTATCTGGATGGTCTTTCAGCAGCAGGTTACACACCTTGCCACAAAAGTGTCCATTCATAAAACACTTTACAGATAGCTGATGGTAGAGGCTATAAGAAGGATACACTGGACAGAAACAAGCTATAGTGTACATGTATTTCTAGCTGAAGTGAACATAGGCTGTCTGCCAAGAGTCCATTTCCCCTTCTTATACATGACTCTGAATTTTCTTTGAGGAACCATGCCTCCCTCACACTCAGTCGTGTTCTTCAGATGTCACTTATTTCTGTTTAGT